AATATATCTATAATCTAATGTATTTATAATATATTCCTATTAGAATGGCATAGCCAGACTGGCTGAACTGCAGCTGCCCCTGATCCTTGTTTTCTTAAACCCATCATGTTTCCTGAGCACAGCTTTCTTTCCTGGACATAGTGCGCTGTGCTTTCAAGCGAGCCCAAATATTATTTTAGGTGTCTTGCCCAGAGAAGAAACACAGAGTGGGAGGGATCTGCCCTCTCTGAGCTCACTTCCCAGCGTGGTCCCTGGCATCTCCCTACTGGGATCAGAGGGATAGGCAGCATCCCATCGTGGCAGCATCCCGTCCCAGCAGTGTCCCTGTGTCCCATCCCAGCAGCAAGGACCTGAGCTGGGCTCTGAGATGCACTGGGTGACCCCACTCATGGGGTTCAGGCTGGTACCTGCACACCTTCCCCAGCTGAGATGGGGTTACTGCCCTCCCTCTATCTGAGTGCTGATAGCTCAGCTATGGGGGTTTGTCTGGAGGCAACATCCTTAGGAAGGGATTTGTGGTGATTTCTTGTACAAACAAGTGTCTTGGATGTGAACAGTGCTTGCAAAACCCAAATAAATTGTAAGGAAGTGCGGATTAGCCTAAGAAATACAAAACCGGGACTGCAGTGGATTGGAACCTGCCAGCGGTCCTTGCTTGGGGCAGAGAGGCCGTCTTGTGGAAACAAGAAGCACGGCCAAAAAGGTTCCTGTAAAAGCATTGCTGGCTGGCTGGCCAGATCCTGGCTCCTCTCAGCTCGCCTGGTGCTGGAGTTGGCACATGGCTTTTTCCCACAGCCATGCCAGTGGTGCTGGGCACCAGGGCTGCAAGGTTAAAACATCTCTGTGCTGGGTTGTGGATGGATGCTCAGGTGGAGAGTAGTCACTGCACCAGGAGAAAGGGCCTGATGTACATGTGACACTCAAGGATGTGGTGGCTGAGTGGCACAGCGGGTCGCATCATGCCGCAGGGTAGCTTGAGGCATGCATCTGTCCATGGCACTCGTCCATCCGTGGCAGCCCTCGGCGTGGTTTCCTTCCAGGGGGTGATTGCTGATTTGAAGCTGCAAGGGGACCCAAGGGCAGCTGAGCGCCAGTGTGAGGAAGAGGAGGATGACACTGAGGAGGTGAGTGCTGGCAGCCTGTCTGGGCCAGGCTAGGGGCTGCTGCCCCCTGCTCTCAGCTCACCCCTTGCCCCTTCTGCCTGGGCAAACGCAGGTCTCCGGTGATTTCGGCAGCGGAGCAGAAGGTGGACACCAACCCTCGGGGAAGGTTGGGGTGAGTTGATTCCCGTGAGTGTTGTGCTTAGCAGCAGGACCGCAAAATTGCAGGGACGAGGAGGGCTGAGTGCCCTCCATGGTCAAGGTCCCAGGATGCCCAATGGGGCCCCAATGCCTGTCCCTTTTGGGTGGGCACCGGGAGGTGAACGGCACCACGGTCACCCCTTGCTGTTGGCACAGGGTGTCCCAGGGCTGGTGGATGCTGTCCCTGTCACCTCTCCCCCCGTGGAGGCAAGCAGTGGGCCAAGGAGCGGGGGAGGCTCTCTGCAGCAAGCTGAGAGGACCAGAGCGGAGGAGACGCTGCAGATCTCCACAGGAGGTAATGCCAGCAGCTTTCCCTTTCCCCACTGTGCTGGCCAGCCCTGGGGAAAACCAGTGAGGACACGGTGGGTGGCCATCCCCAGGCATGACCAGGTCCCTTTTCCCTTCCCTCAGGTACCGGCCCCAAAGGTGAAAAGGGGGAGAAGGGTGAACGTGGCCTGAAAGGGGACTCGGGGACTGGCAGCATCGTGGGGACAGGCAGTGTCAAGGGTGAAAAGGTGGGTGATGAAGTGGACCCCGGGGGCTCGAGGATGCCAGTGACGTGTGCATTTGACACCCACTCCTCTTTGTTTCTGTCCTGCAGGGGCAGAAAGGAGAACTGGGCATTAAGGTGAGCATCACTGGGGAGCGGGGGCAAAGCCATGCCTGCCTAGGCTGCCACCCCTGGGGATGTGCCACCCATCCCCATTTCCCTCCCCAGGGCAGCGCTGGATTTGGCTACCCGGGGTCCAAGGGCCAGAAAGGGGAACCGGGCAACCCCGGTCCCCCTGGGACCCTCTCGCGGCATGCTGATGGCTTGGTGGTGGAGCAGGTCACTGGTCCCCCAGGGCCGCCGGGGAAAGACGGAACCCCCGGCAGGGACGGCGAGCCTGTGAGTCAAACCCCCACCCCTCAAGTATCCCACCTCTCCTGCCCCTTGCCTGCTTGCCTGCCTGCCTGCCTGCCTGCACACTGACCTCTCCCCTCTCTGTCATCCCTAGGGCGATCCTGGCGAGGACGGCAAACCTGTAAGTGGGGTGGCGGGGTGATGGGTGCTGGCCACCCCCTTGCCTTGCCACCTGCTTACCCCCCACCGCTCCCCTTTGCAGGGCGATATGGGACCCCAGGGATTCCCTGGGATGCCAGGGGAGCCTGGTCTGAAGGGGGAGAAGGTTAGTGCCAGCGCCAGTGCCAGTGTGTGGGGACAGCACATGCCGCTGCCCTCGTTTCCTCTAACCTTTGGCTTGTCTGCACTCACAAAACTATGCTCTCTCCTCTGTGCCAGGGTGACCCAGGTGTGGGGCCGAGGGGACCCCCCGGACCACCTGGTCCCCCAGGACCACCAGGACCCTCCTCCAAGCATGACAAGCTGGTGGGTGCTCACTGGGACACAGGGATTGGGGTGGAGTGGTTCATCCATCAAGCCACGGAGGTGTGGGGTGCTGCTGCCAGCCCCCAGGCAGCATCCCCACAGCACCAGGTACCGTGGCCCTGGCCATCGATGCCTGACATCACCCTTGTACTTCTCCCTCAGACCTTCATCGACATGGAGGGCTCTGGCTTTGGTGGCGACCTGGAGAGCCTGCAGGTGAGTGTGGGCGAGTGCGTGTCCTGCCGGCAGGAAGTGAGGGATGTGCTCAGCTATCAGTCCCCTCCTTCTCTTCTAGGGTCCACGAGGACCACCCGGTCCCCCAGGGCCACCCGGTGTGCCTGGTTTGCCAGGGGAGCCAGGACGGTTTGGGATGAACCGCACGGACCTGCCAGGACCACCGGGGCTGCCAGGCAGGGATGGGACACCTGGACCCCCAGGGCCAGTGGTAGGTGTATAGGATGTCCAAGGGGACCCATCCCAGGGCCACCGTGTAGCCGTGGGAGGCCCAGGGCCCACCAGCCCCATGGGGTTTTCCTGCACTGGAGCCATCTCCTGGGCATCTTGCAGGGTCCTCAGGGTCCTCCTGGAAGAGACGGGGCAGCTGGGCAGCCAGGACCCAAAGGAGAGGGACCCCCAGGGCCAGTGGTAGGTGTATAGGATGTCCAAGGGGACCCATCCCAGGGCCACCGTGTAGCCGTGGGAGGCTCAGTGCCCACCAGCCCCATGGGGTTTTCCTGCACTGGAGCCATCTCCTGGGCATCTTGCAGGGTCCTCAGGGTCCTCCTGGAAGAGACGGGGCAGCTGGGCAGCCAGGACCCAAAGGAGAGCGGGTGAGTGTTCCTTGTCCATGTCCCCAGGGAGCATCAACCTGTTCCTGCCTGGAGCTGGGCAGCTTCTTCACTCCTTTTTGCCTCCTCCTCCTCCATAGGGTGATGTGGGTGACCTTGGCCTCCCTGGTGCACCGGGATCCAAGGTACTGTGCCTAGGATGGGTTTCTCGGGGGGGGGATGTCCCACGTGCACTGTATACTGGAGGCAGGGATGCTGCTTGGGGGGCTACCTCACACTGGAGTGGGGAGGGGATGCTGGTATTTGGGTTCCTCCTAGAGCAGAGCAGTGCCGCTGCATGGAGCCCGCAAACACCCCCAGGATTCTCGCTGGGCTCCTGCCACCCTTGCTTGGCTTTGCTTCAGGCTCTGCCGCCTCGGGAAGCAGGCAGAAAAGCCAAGCAGAGTGTTTTAAGGCACAGAAGAGGGGATGCTTGAGGGGGTTTTGGGTCCCCACACCCCATGGAAAAACACCCCATCTTCTTGCACATCACTCTCCTGCCTGCCTGCTCAAGCTTTCTTCCAGCCTGCATCCCCAAGGGTGGAGGCAAAGGCTTGCTGGGATGCACATGCTTGCCTTCCCCTCCCTCGGGGGCGAGGATACACCATGGGATGACTCATCTGCTCCTGAGCTGGGTGCAAGAGACTCAAGAATTAAAGTTTCTTAATACTGCCAGCCCTGAGAACATAGATGGGGTGGCAGCGGGCGTAAGGACTGATCCTGCTGCTCCAAGACCCGTAGCAGAGCGCAAGGATGCCTGCGAGCATCCCCCCTCGGCACTGAGCTCTGCTGCAGCATCGGATCCAGCGAAGTTTGCAAAAAACTATCTGGATTTATGATTTTAGATGAGCCTCTGGTGGCCACCATGAACATTGCATAAGGAGCTGGGGCTGTCGGAGAACAACCAGGACAAAGGATGCCCAAGCAATGCCCCTTCCCTCAAAGCCCCTCTGCCCCAGAGATAGGGGAGCATCCCTGTCCTGTCCCAAGGGGCAGTTTGGGGATGCACTGCCTCCTGTTTGCAGGGTTGAGGCAGGGACCATTGTCACCTTGTCTCATCTGTCCCCTTGTTTTCTTGTCCCTTTTGCAGGGCAGCAAGGGAGAAATGGGACCAGCAGGACCCCCGGGAGAAATGGGTTTAGCTGGCCTTCCCGGGCCCATCGGACCCCGAGGGCAGCCAGGGCCCCCCGGTCCCCCAGGACTGCCAGGGCCAGGCTACGAGGCTGGATTTGTAAGTGATCACCTCTGTGATGGTGCGGTGGGATGAGCTGGAGCCAGGGATAGATGTGGCTCAGCCCCGTCTCCTCCCTCACCTAGGGCGACATGGAGGGCTCAGGGCTGTTAATCACCGCCAGCTCCCCTGGACCACCTGGACCCAAAGGACCACAGGTAGATCCGGTCTTGCCCCTTCCCTCCCCTCCATCCTGGGCTCCTCAGGGCATCCCCTGCCATCACGTGCCCTGCCATCACCCAGTGCTCATGGCCTCTTCTTGTTGCTTGCAGGGGGTGCCGGGACTGCCAGGGGTGAAGGTGAGGAGTGATTCAAACACCTTCCTCATCCTTTGCTGGAGCCAACCACAGGGCCTGGCTCCATCCTTGCAGGATGCCCACGGGCAGCCTGTGGGGATGCTCCTGCTCTGACACCTCTTTCCTTGCAGGGGGAGGTTGGCAGCCCCGGGCAGCCCGGTTTGCCGGGACTGAAGGTAGGAGCGCTGGGAGCTTGGGATGGACTCTATGCAAGCACCTGGGTTTGCAGGGCACTGGGCAGGACCCCTGTGCTCCCTAACCTCAGGCTGTCAGGAGGATGCTCCGTACTGCATCTTACCCTTTTCCACACCTCGTTGCAGGGAGATGCTGGCATGCCCGGCGTGGATGGCCGCCCTGGCCTGGAGGGCTTCCCCGGACCACAGGTAGGAGCATCAGTAGCCCCTTTCTAGAAGCCCCCTTGCTTCAGACAGGGCACCCTTGTAGCAGCTCCATCCCCAGCAGCTGAAGTTCACCTGCCCCTCTGGTGCCTTTAGCTGCTCCCCTGCTCTGAGATCAGGCTTACCACCTGCCAGGGCTTCCCATGCGGCTTGGGACCCCGTCCCCATCAGCTTGCCATCTTGCTCGCCACCACCTCCACCCAAAAGCATCCCAACCTGGCTTGCTACCTTGCAGGCAGAGGAGGGTGGCTGCAGGCCGAGCCACAGGCAGGAAGGGGTCTCCACTTGTGAGCCAGGGTCTGGCTGCATGTGGTCCCAAGTGGGAAGCTCACTCCTGCCTTCTCCTCCTTCCAGGGACCCAAAGGTGACAGAGGCAGCCCTGGCGAGAAGGTAGGTGCCACCAGGCTGGGAACAGGGACCAGCCAGCAGTGGCCCTGGGGCTGATGGCTTGTGTCTTTCAGGGAGAGCGAGGCCAAGATGGTGTGGGGCTGCCTGGTCCCCCTGGTCCACCTGGTCCCCCTGGACAAGTCATCACTGTCTCAAGCAAAGATGTAAGTGATGGCGCCTGGCTTCATCGCAGCTGGGGGAATCTAAAATTGGGAGAAGGGGGGAAACGGGCCTGCCCAGCACCCATCATGTTGGGGGACCGAGGGAGACCTCTCCAGGAGCTCTGACCTCTTCAGAGCAAAGATCATAGTGAAAAAAACTAATTTTGTCTGTTTTTCCAGAAATTTTTGGCAGGTCCAGAGGTAGGTGCCCCCCTGCCACCCGCACCCACCCCTCAGCAGTGCCAGGAGGGCACCCGGTTTCTTGGAAAGAGGGGGTTTGCTCTTACAAGCATCTCTGCTTCTCTTTGCAGGGCAGACCAGGTCACGCTGGCTTCCCGGTGAGTCAGTGGCAGGGCTGGGGACCACAGTAGTGGCCCTGGTGAAAGCTCTGGGCACACTTTGGTGAATCCTCTGGTTGCCAGTCCTGCCACATTTTACCACAGCAGTGCCGGGGTGGTGGTGATGGAAGGAGGGAGTTGGGGTCTGCCTTTGGTGGGTCAGGGCTGATGCGGGCTCTGTGCTCCTCCATGCAGGGCCCAGTGGGACCAAAAGGAGACCGGGGGTCATCTGGTCCCCAGGGCTCCCCGGGGTTGAAGGTAACGGCTTCGGGCCACCTCTGCACTGTGGGGTGGTCACACTCGTGGTCCCCCATCCTGCCTGGCCACCAGGTCCCAGTGGTGACGCTGGCCCCGCCATGGGAGGGAGCCTGGTCCCTCCATCTCCCGTCGTGCCTCCTCCTCTCTTGCAGGGGGAGAAGGGGGAGCCCGGTGTCATCATCAGCCCCGATGGGACCGTGGCCACTGCGAAGGTGAAAGGAGAAAAGGTGGGTGCGCAGCGGGAATGGGGGGCACATCCCTGTGCGACGGGTGCCAAGTGGTCCCGGTGGTGATGTCCTTTCCCTCTCTGATGTCTGCAGGGGGAGCCAGGACTGCGGGGACCTATGGGACCCTCAGTAAGTCACCGTCACCATCCTCCTCATATCCCATGGGGAGGGATGGGGCTGATCCAAGGCAGAGGGGGATGGGGGGTGTCCCTGCTCTGAGCACACTCATCCTCATCTTCTCTCCTCTCCAGGGTCCCCAGGGACGAGCAGGGATGAAGGGAGAGATCGGCTTTCCAGGAAGACCCGTAAGACCTGCTCCCGGTTTGTTTGTCCCCTTGGCCATTGCCTCCTCCACCGCATCCCCCCACCCCATTTGCACACCTTGCACCCGGTGAACCCTGAATCCTATCATGTCCCCGAGGGGTGGAGTGATGCCGGGGTGTTGGAGGCAATGCTGGGGTGTCGGATGTGACGGCGGGGCATCAGAGGTGTCACCCCAGGGTTGGCAGTGGGACAGGGATGAGGCTCATCTATGCTTCTCATCCACAGGGACGTCCTGGCATGAACGGGCTGAAGGGTGAGAAGGGTGACCCTGCGGATGTCAGTAGTGTTCTGGGCTTGCAGGTGAGCACAGCTACGGCCCAGCCCGGGCTGCTGGCCCAGCAGAGCAGGGGACACACACCGAGGGTCTCCTTGAGGACCCAAATCCCTTTGGCAAAGGGCACATGCCTCCCTCTGTCAGGGACTGGTTGCCCTTCTGGGGCAGAGCATGGCCCCGGTGTGTCCCCCATGGGGACTGTCCACTTTGCAGGACCCTGACACATCTTTTCTCCTACTGCAGGGTCCCCCGGGACCCCCAGGGCCCCCAGGACCCCCAGGGCCACCTGGCAACATAGTCTATGACAGCAGCAATGTGAGTAACAGCACAGTCACTGTGATGAGAGGGCTGAAAGCTGGTGACCAGGTACCCCTAGTGCCCCCTGCCTGGCTGGAGGGGATGGAGGATGCTCCGGTGGCATCTTGGCCAGGGCTGGCACATGGGGCTGTCATCAGCATCACATTGAGGGGAGTCCCCGAGGATGCTGCTGTTGCTACAGCGGCTTCCTTTGTGTCTCTGCAGGCCTTCAGTGACTCTGGACATCCCTCGATGCCAGCCTTCCCCGGTAACGGGTGTCCCTCTCCCAGCCCCCTCGGGGCAGTTAGGGGAACCCCTCCATTAGAGCTGGGGCTGGGATGCTGCGGCACTAGGATGCTGCAGCACTGAGATGGCTTCTTTCTGCTGCTCCCCACAGGTTTCCACCAGTTTCCAGGACAAAAGGGAGAGAAAGGCGATGCCGGAGCCCCAGGACCTCCAGGTAGATGATGGATCTCCACAAGCAGAGGCAGGCAGAGGGTGGCTCTTGCCCATCTCAGCTCTCCTCTCCTCTCCTCTCCCTCTCCACAGGCCATTTCCCCTACAACCTGAGTCACTTCAGTGCCAGCCTACGGGTAAGCCCTTTGGCCCACTGGAGGTGGCTCGCAGGGCTGGCACCTGGCATGATATGGGGTACTGGGGTGTGCCCCAGCTGCTTGCCCTAAGGCTGTGCCATCCCACAGGGTGACAAGGGGGATGCAGGTTCCAAGGGTGAGAAGGGCGAGCCGGGCAGCACCCCACTCTACAGTCCCAGCATCTCTGGGCCACCGGGGCCTCCGGGGCCCCAGGGCTACCCTGGGCTGCCGGTGAGTACCCCACGGTACAGGGGGTGAGGGGGGCATGGGTGGGGGGTGGCGTCCTTGGGTGCTTTGCTCCAGGGATGCTCTCTCACACTGCCTAGGGTCCCAAGGGGGACAGTATCGTTGGGCCACCGGGGCCTCCAGGACCTCAGGGTCCCCCTGGTATTGGATACGAGGGGCGGCAGGGCCCCCCTGGCCCTCCTGGACCCCCTGGTCCACCCTCCTTCCCAGGCCCCCATAGGCAAGGTGAGTACCTGCCCCATTGCATCCCTCCCTGCCACCACTATATCCTTCCACGCACACCCTGCATCCCTCCTTGCACTCCCCACATACCTCCCTATGCTGCAGCCCTCTCTGTCTCACCCTTCTTCCCCTGCCCCAGCTATCAGCATCCCTGGACCTCCTGGACCACCAGGACCCCCCGGACCACCAGGCAGCAGCAGGATGTCCTTGGGGGTGAGTTGGAGCTCTGAGGAGGGGGTTGCCCATGGGCTGGCTGGCTGAGCCCTGAGCCACCTGACGGCCTGTGCCCGCAGCTACATGGCCTGCCAACCTACCAGGCAATGCTGAGCACCGCACACGAGCTGCCCGAGGGCAGCCTTGTCTTCCTGACTGACCGGCAAGAGCTCTACGTCCGCCTGCGCGGGGGCTTCCGACAGGTGCTGGTGAGTGGGGAGGGGCCAGAGGGGCACCCCATCTTGGGTTGCACCACCCAGCTCTAGGGGAGTGCAGACAGCATCGCCCTGGGGTTTTGGTGGTGTCTTTTGGTGATGCTTGGGGGTCCCCCAACCCATGCACCTGGAAGAGGAGAGGGGGGCAGCTGGGATCTGATGTGCCATGCCCTTGCAGCTGGAGGAGCACACCCTGATCCCCAGTTCAGCTCTGGTGAGTCCCCCTGTCCCCCATGCCCATCCTCATCCCCTGTCCCCATCTCCATCCCCATCTCCACCCCCATCCTCCATCCTCATACATCCTCATCCCATCCCCATCTCCAACTATCTCCATCCCTGTCCATCCCCATCTCCAACCATCTCCATCCCTATATCCATCCATTCCCAACCGTCTTGATCCCTATCTCCATCCATCTCCAATCTTCTGCATCTCCATCCATCCCCAGCCATCTCCATCCTCATCCTCACCCCCACCTGGGGCAGCACTAACCTTCCCTCTCCCTCTCCAGGACAACGAGGTGTACGACAAGCCGCCCAGTGTCCACTATGCTGGTCCTCAGCCCCCCCTCCAGCCCCGTGGACCCCTGCACCCCCTCCGCAACCATGGCTCACCACCCACTGCCCAACCCTGGCGTGGGGATGAGGTGGTGGCCAACCAGCACCGCCTGCCCGAGCAACCCCTGCTCCACCACCAGCATGAGCTCCTCAACAGCTACTACATCCACCGCCGGCCGGTGCCCATGTGCACCAGGACTTCCAGCCTGCCGTGAGTGCCACTCGCTGGCCAAGGAGAGGTGGTGATGGTGGCCAAAGCCGTGTCCCTCAAGCCTTGTTGTCCCCTCTTGGCAGCTTCACCTCGTGGCCCTGAACACCCCACTGAGTGGCGGCATGCGCGGCATCCGGGGCGCCGATTTCCAGTGCTTTCAGCAAGCCCGGCAGGTTGGGCTGGCTGGCACCTTCCGTGCCTTCCTCTCCTCCCGCCTTCAGGACCTCTACAGCATCGTACGTAGGGCCGACCGTGCCGTTGTGCCCATCGTCAACCTCCAGGTACATGTGTCCCCATCCACTTCCTGAAACCCCATGAGCTCTGAGGGATGCAGAGCATCCCAAAGCCCCCATCCATCCAAATGGCAGTGACTGTGAAGCATCCTCTACCCAGAGCCTGCTGGGGCTCAGAGCTCCTGTGATGCTCTCAGGGTGCAGGCAGGGCTGACACACAAACCTCTCTGCCCCCCACTCCCGCCTGCCACCTTTTTCCACATCTTCCCCCAGGACGAAGTGCTCTTCAGTAACTGGGAAGCCCTTTTCACGGGCAGTGGGGCCCCACTGCGAGCCAGCGCCCGCATCCTCTCCTTCGACGGCCGAGATGTCCTGCGGGATGCGGGATGGTGAGTTTGGGATTGAGTGATGGGGAAAGAGGGGAGAGGGGATCTGGACTGCGAGGTGGGGGGCAGCGGCAGCCCCACCACCACCACCTTTCTCCTTTCCAGGCCACAGAAGAGTGTCTGGCATGGCTCAGATGCCAAGGGCCGGCGCTTGCCTGAGAGCTACTGCGAGACGTGGCGGACAGAGGAACGCACCGCCACCGGCCAGGCTTCCTCACTGGGTTCTGGCAAGCTGCTGGAGCAGGTGGCCAGCAGCTGCCAGCATGCCTTCGTTGTCCTCTGCATCGAGAACAGCTTCATGACTGCCACCAAAAAGTGACACCCTCCCGTCCCCTGGGTACCCCGCATCTCCCCAGGGAGGGTCAGGCCAGCCTGCACCCCGGCCCCTCTGCGGTCTTCAGTCATCCCCCCCTTCCATGTGCCTGCCCTTGCCCCACAGGGTTTTATTCTGCAGACCTGAAGCCAAAGAGTATCACCATTGCCCCTGCCCTGGGTCGGCAGGGGCTTGTGTCCCACCTGGGGCAGGGCAGCTGTGGACTAGCTGCCTTCCTCCTCCTCTTGCTCCACTTATCTTCTAGCTGCTAATATTTAACCACTTCAGCTTGTCCCCCCCACCTGCTCAGATGCTCTTTTCAGGGTGGCTGGGTGGGAGGATGCTCAGCAGGGAGATTTTGGCACTCCATGTGGTGTCCCCCCCCGGAAAGCCTGCAGGGGTTTCTCTGACCTCCCCCACCTCCACCAGCCCCGCACAGTCCTCACCAGGAGCTTGGGGTCTGACCCAAATCCCCACTGTGAGGACCACAGGGTCTTCTCCAGCCAAAACCACAGCATCCCACCCAAGCAAGGGACTGTCCCGTGGCGGTGCTGGGGCTACCCCCAGATGGTCTCCGTCCTCCCCAGGTAAGGAACCATGCCACCCTGTCCCCCATCATCATCCTCACCTCCACCT